CATCCGAGGCTCCTCTCCCCACATTCGCAGGAATTTGGGTCCCTGCTTGGTACCCGGTGCCACCCTGGAGCAGTGTTGAGCTTGGCTGGCACTGCCCGATGCGGACGTGCGGGTGGCTCCCTGGAGCTCTGCTGAAGGATGCCGAGCMTCTGTTTGCAACACCTCCAGAGCAGAGCTGACTCAGAAGCGTTTCGGCTCCCTAGGGGCTCTAATGATGGGATGAACTCTGAAATGTCAACCCAGTGCTTGGAGTTTCTGGCTTAAAAGGAAGGAAAGCTTCAACTTTGGCTTGGAGGCAAAAGAGAAAAAAAAAAAGTACAAGAAAGTTTTGGCTTTTCCTCTTCCAAACTGTTTTCCACTGAGCCAGGATTACCATGCAAAAGAGACTTTTCCCCATTTGCACCTGTTGGCATGCAAAGTAAAGTGGATTTGGGAGACAAAAAGCGGGAATTTCTTTTGCACATGGAATAAATATGGGCATTTTGCTGAGCAGCCTTCACTGGCCCTCACCACAGAACATAATATCTAATGTGGCATGAGGCCAGGGTCCTAGATCTGCTTTAGTGCTAACATTGCTCCAGCTGATAATGCTAATCTCTTAAACTATTCCCAGGCAGGCGCTAAGGAAGGGAGCTGAGTAACTCTGCAGGTAATGAAACTTTTTTTAATTATAGCTCTGGCCATGTCTAAAATTAAAAGAACATTCCCACAATTTATCCGACCACCTGAGATTGACTCTGTGTTACATAATGATGCCACTTCTGCGAGCCCAGTAGTTGCATTGGCTTTTTTCCTACTAGTTGCATGCACTAATGTGCCCGTTCCAATGGTGTTGGGATGGGATTTCCTGGGAGATTAATAGCTTCCTATGGGGTTTGGGTGGTGGGGCAAGAGGATTTGGGCAGATGCAGGAATGCAGGTCTGCAGGGTGCAAACAGGGGTGGGCAGAGGTGGGAAATGGCCATGAACTGGGTGATGATGCTGTGGTCCTCAAAGCATCTTCTCAGAGACCTGCAAGRAAGGTCAACCCACTTGAGCAGGAGGTTGGACTAGATCATCTCCGAAGGTCCCTTCCAACATCAGTGGCTGTGCTGAGTGCTTCTGTGTTATGAAAAAGGCCACCATATTTTATATTTTCTTTCTAGTGCCACCATATCGTTCCAAAACCTTCAAGGACAGGGACTTGTTTTAGATGAGCTAGTTCTAAATGTCTTTCCTTATGGCACTTTCCAGCAAGAGGAAAAACTTGACATTGAAAGCACATATTGGGTGTAGAGGGAGGAGGAAAAACAACTTTTTAGTCACCTTGGTTATTTGCAGCCACGGTGCACACGATTGGGAAAGAGTCTGTGTGACTTCAAAGGCAAGTGTGCCCCATTAATGCCAAGGCTCCTGCAAGAAGCAAGTGTCTCATCTCTTAATTGCTCCTGTGGTTTTAGTCGTGTATAATTCGCTTCACCTTAACAGCCAGTGTGTCACGGGGGAACTTGTTGCCCCAGAGGAAACTCGGGGGTTTTGGTGACTAAAGCAGGGACTGAGCAACACTGAGGGTGGTGATGGGAGAGATGAGAAAACCGGTCTTTACTCCTCTTCCTCTGCAATTTGATCCTTTTATTGCTACAATTATTTTTTTTACAGTTTTTAAGTGCTTGCAAGTGTGTCCCTGTGGCTGGGAGCAGCCTGGCTAGCACCGGGGAACTGCTGTCCCCATGAGTAAATTCTGTTTAAAAATAAATAGTGAATTAGAGGGGTTTCTAATATCCAAGCCTTGCAAGATGGCCTGTCGCCAATGCTAGTAAGTCTTAATTCCCCCTCCACTCTTGCAACCCCCTTGTCCTGCCAAGGGGCTGTGTAAGGGGAGTTGTTAACAGTGAGGAGCTTGGTGGTGCTGCTGAGCAGACAAGCTGCACGTTGCACAACCTGCAGGGATCTCCACAATGCTGAAAGGTTAATTTTCCTGCTAGTGAAACCTCCCATCTACCCAAGGATGACTTTTCTAGGCTACTATTCAGCCTTTATATCTGTTCCATGGACACTTCTAGTTGGGAAAAGAGTACTTTGAAAAGTAGTATTTTGAATAGGTGCAGAGCCTTTGGTCAAAGTCCATAGGGTGCCTGCTCAGCCTGCATCACGTGGGATGTGTTTCTCATAATTTCCCTATCTCTTTTGAGCCTCAGAGAAGAAAATCATATTTGAAACAGCCAAGTGGAAGAGTTGGGAATGAGATCGATGTGCTGCAATACTTTGTAGTTAAATATAATAGTTCATTTCAATAACTCCTTCTGAATTAGTGCTCTAATGGGAACTTCTCCCCTTCCCTTTTGCTTTTTCAATGGAGAAATTTGCATATTTTCAGGTTTTTCTGATGTGGGCTAAGTGAATAATTCATCCGTTACAATGAATTTGGAAGACTCTTGAATGTATCTGTTGCCACAAGAATTCAGCGTTATGGCTTCAGATTGCATTTAGCTTGTAATTAATATGGACTTCTGCATTTTTTCTTCCAGAAAAGTATCCTATTAGTCATGACAGCCAAATGTTCCATGTTTGGGCAACAATTCAATTTCTCCTGAACTACCCTCAAAACTAAGTCACGCTTGTTCAGCAGGAACTCAACTCCAAAGGTAAGGAACAGATTGCATGTCCTGCGCTTGGAACTGTGTTTTCCATACGTTGCTCCTTCCATCTAAACACCATTTTGCAACTTAAAAAGGCAACTGGAAGTGGAAATGTCCATGCACTAAAATGCAGCTCCTGCTGGTAAGGGTCTTTCTGCCTTGGTCTGGACCACAGTCTTAAGAGGTCTCCCTGCAGAGCACTGGTAATGGGGCTGGGGACTGTGAGCATCTGTTCTCCTCTGCTATGGAAAGAAGCAGAGGAACTTGCTTCCCAAGCCCAGGTAGTTTTTTTTCTTTGAAGGTAAATTCCGTGGTTGTGTTGGAAGTAGCTCCTCCAGCAGCAAACACAGGGCCTGTTTTGCCCCTCAACCAGGGTGAGATGCATTGCATGCAATAGGTCTTATCAGAGAAAGACTCTTGCTGCTGTCCCCATGACAAGGAGCATTTAAAAAGGGGGGAAAAAAAAAAATTTGCAAGCTTCACAACTTCAGCAACAATCCAAAACAGGTAGAAGGCTGCACAGCTCAGCGGTGAAGTCTGTTTAGTATTTCAAAAACCTGAAGATTGACCTCCTGTGCAATACATGCAGCTGATGCCAAGAAGCAGGCCTTGCCTTGCTTAATTCACTCTAAAGAATGAGACTTTTGGTGCAGACCCAGGCACTGCAACCAACCCCTTCGCAGGAAAAACCTCAGCCCGAACAGCTGAACTTGAAAAAGTTATCTATGCGAGGAATTCCTACTTCAGGCACTCAAATTGCAGAGCACGAGATGGATGGAAAACGGATTCAAGAATGATGCCATTCATGGAGATCATGTTTTGTGGGTTGGCTACTTGCATTTCCCTGGTTCTTCTGGTGCACAGGGGGAGCTGAGAGCAGCACTGGGAGCTGTGGGGTGCAGGCACTGGGGGCTGCTCCCCCTCCCCAGTGGCCCCAGCATGGAGCTTTGCTTGACCAGGGTCTCCCACCTTGGAGGCTTTCCGAGAAGCACCTTCCCCAGCACAGCCCAGTCCCTCTGAGCCCCCCACATGCAGAGGAGCCCCAAGCGAGCGTCCTGCAAATGTGCTGTGGGTATCATTTTTTGCTCAATTTTGCATTATCAAACTTCTTTGGCTCTTTCTCCTGGAAACTTTTACAATTCTCCACTTGGCTGGAAAAGATGACTGCAGCAAACCCAAATTAGGAATAAATTATACAACAACTTTACATTTTTCTTGCAAAGGAAAACTGTGTGGCAAGAGCACCTCCTTCCTATGTGCCCCTAGGAAACCATATAGTGCAAGGCCACCAACTTCATGCATGTCTGGTAGAAAAGTTCTGCAGCAAGATTGCCCTCCCACCTGAGCCATGCAATGGTGCTTGACCCCCTGCTTCCAACATGCTGCAAAATACAACAACAAGCAATTGCAATATGAAATCCAAACGTTTAGAAGAGGCTCAGAAAGCTGCATTTGCATTGCTGTGCACTGACATATGTGCATCTGTGGCCACAATGAATGGCCAGAGCAGCTCCCTCTTGAAACTTGCAGCCTGCTCTTGCATGGACTATTACATTCCTGCAGCATTTTTTTTTTTTTTTTTCAATATGAAATCCCCCAACTTCCCCTCTTTGCAGGACACAAGGCAAAGCAATTCCTGAGCAATCATAAACTTAAGCGAGTTCCAGCCTTCCCCACTGTGCTGGTAAAAATCAGTGTTGTCCTCTGCCCAAATATCCCCCTCCCGCTCCATCCGGAGCGCTGGAGCCCCTGCTCCGAACTGCTAAATAAAGCCGCCTGCTGCTGCATGCTCTTCACGAGCTGGTGTTACAAACCACACTGCTGCCTCTGACCAAAAGTTACCAAATATTAAGGAGGAGAAATCGGTGGAAAATGATCTCAGTCCTGGCACAAGAACAATACTTTCCCATGGAAACATAGGTATATATTTAATTCCCGGTAACTCCACTCAAGTTTCACCTTTCATCTCCTCCACAGACTTCTTTAGAAGTTTCATTTAATATTGCACCGTAGATAATCTGCAATTCGCATGCATTGTGCCCATTTTGCATGCATATGCACGGTAGCAAATGCATCTGTTCTTCTGCACCCTTTATCTGTCCTGACTGTGCAAAAGGCAAAAAGGGCTCAGTAATCCCCGCAGAAGAATTCAAATAACGTCAATGCACAGCTGAACTGCAAGCCCTGCCTTACAGGAACTGTGTGTGTGAGTGTGTGTGTGTGTCTGCAAAAAGGCACATACTAAACAGGAAATGCAACTGAGAGCCATTGAAAGCCTCAAACTTCAAAATGCAATTGCATCCCGAGAAAATGCATGCATGCACTTGAAAATGCATGCACGGCTTTTTGCATATTTGCAAGGAACAGAAGCAGGAGCCTTACCTCTCGCCTGAGACATTTTCCCCTTTGCTTTGGTGGGGGAGGGGAGGCACAAAAGACTTTGCCTCCCTCTCTCTTTCTCTCTTTCTCTCTCTCTCTCTCTCCGGGAGCTAGTTTTGCAACAAAGATGCAAACTGCACCGCGCTCAGATCTTCGTGCAGCGGCGCTTCTCGCAGCTCCCCGTGCAGCGGGGGGGCGCCGGGCAATTGCACACCGTGCAGGGCCGCTTGCACGGCGCGGGGGGGGGCTCTCCTCCCCCCCTGCTCGCAATGGCAGGGAAGGCTCCGCTGCACCTACATGATGGGCCAGGGCTGGCAGCTCCAGGCTCCAAACTTGGAGCGGGGGCGCGCACTGCGCACGCGCGCGCCCGACGCGCGCCGCG